TCTGGCCTCAGAATCAGCCCTTAAGGTATTTGGATCTGGCTGAAGAGCCCATGAGAGTATTTTAGGCATGGAAAGCCAAGACACACTGGCAAAAAAAAAAAAAAAAAAAAGAAAGAAAGAAAGATCTCTGTGAGTGAGAGCCCAGTGGAAAGAATGGAGGTACCATTAAGGAATGAGGTACCTTTCTCTGAAGGAAGGAGAGAACTTCCACTTTGACAATGGCCTGGTTGAAATAAGATCAAAGTCGGCGAGCTCAGGGGGCTTCCATGGCCTTGGCAAATCATGACTAGAGCCTGGGGAGATTGCTGACGCCTTAAACAAGAGTGTCAGTTTGTTAAGTCAACAACAGGAGTACTGTGCACTTACTCCTCATGTAGGATCTCTATCTTTTTTTTTTTTTTTTTGACAGAGTGGATAGTGAGAGAGAAAGGTCTTCCTTTTGCCATTGGTCCACCCTCCAATGGCTGCCACGGCTGGTGCGCTGCGGCCAGAGCACCGCGCTGATCTGAAGGCAGGAGCCAGGTGCTTCTTCTGGTCTCCCATGGGGTGCAGGGCCCAAGCACCTGGGCCATCCTCCACTGCCTTCCCAGGCCACAGCAGAGAGCTGGCCTGGAAGAGGGGCAACCGGGAAAGAATCCGGTGCCCCGACTGGGACTAGAACCCGGTGTGCCAGCGCTGCAAGGCGGAGGATTAGCCTATTGAGCTGCGGCGCCGGCCAGGATCTCTATCCTTAATGTGTAGTTCAATGTGAATTAATGATATGACTAGTGCTCAAACAGTACTTGGCACTTTGTGTTCTGTGTGGGGGCAAACTGATGAAATCTTTACTTAATATATACTAAATTGATCTTCTGTATATAAAGATAATCGAAAATGAATCTTGATGTGAATGGAATGGGATTGGGAGCGGGAGATGGGAGGGTTGTGGGTGGGTGGGAAGTTATGGGGGGAAAAAGCCATTGTAATCCATAAACTGTACTTTGAAAATTTATATCTACTAAATAAAAGTTTAAAAAAAAAAGAAATACAATATGATAGAACACAAAGTACAAAGGGAAAAACTCGGGAGATTGAGATAAGTTTTGGAAGTCTTGTCAGTCCCTCACAACTGGGCACAGTCAGTGCTTTAATAGCTGAGTGTGTGAGGAATGGTGGAAACAGAGCAGAGAGACAGCTGATTCATCCCAGGGAGCAGGAAGGTTCCTATAAAAAGGAGTTGAATCTTGAGCAGAGGCTACAGCTAACCAGGGGCATGGGAATGGGCGGGCCCTAGGATGAGTGCATGGCAGGTGCTGGGAAGGCGTGGCTGTCATGTTTATCCGATAGGAGCGTGGCACGGGAGTGGGGTAGCACAGGAAGGAGGACATGGCAATGAAAATGCCCCAACCAGGGAGGAAGTCGAGCGAGCAGACCACTTACGTTAACCCAGGTGTGAGGTTGGGAGGACCCTGATGAGAAAACACTGGGCAGTGTCTACTGAGCAGCTGGCCCATGTTCGTGTTGTTCTAGACCCGTGTACCCGACTCTTCCTGTAGCTCCTAAACGGCACTCGTGTTTGGACTTATACCTAAGCGTGTTCACAGAAAATATTTGGAATTTTTATAAGTGCTGCTTTAATGTGGTTTTTATGAGCAGTGTTAATTTCCTTCCGCATGAGTAGCTTTAATAACGCTGCAATCTAAATCCTGTTTAAGTTAGTTTATATTGTTTTCTGCTTTCTCAGTGATCTTTCTACCAGATACAAAATTGAATTTATAGCTGAATATTGAAAATGACCTCTCCCACTATACTCCTATAGCCGTGCAGAGGCTTAGGCATAATTAATATAAATTAAAGTCACTTCTTACATGGCAACAAATGTTGACTGGAGTTACCAAGCATGCCTTAATTAATGTTTTTTTTTTAATTTAATTTAAATGTCAGTACATCAATCACACATTGGGCTGCCAGTTTCAGAAAGTTCAGAAATGAAGATGAAATTGGGAGTTTGCAGAAGTGCACGCTTCCTCTCAGCTAATGCGGTTCTGCCTTCTACTAACTTGTGAAGAGTTAGGAAGTCTCCTGGTTTCTTCTTAAATAGCACATTTTTCTTTTTTTTTCTTTTTTTTTAAATTTATTTATGTATTTGAAAGAGTTACAGAGAGAGAGAGAGAGAGAGAGACAGAGAAGACTTCCATCCATTGATTCACTCCCCAGGTAGCCGCAAGCCAGGAGCCAGGAGCTTCTTCTGGGTCTCCCACGTTGGAGGGCAGAGGCCAAAGTATTTGGGTCATCTGCTGCTGTTTTTCCAGGCCATTAGCAGGGTACTGGATCAGAAATGGAGCCCATATGGGATGCCAGCGTCACAGGCGGTGGTCTTACCTGCTATTCCACAGCGCCAGCCCCAGCCGTATATTTTTCAACTGCTTAATCCTGAGCAGGTAGATTCCTCCGTCTGAGCAATGTGAATTCACCGTCACCTGTTGCTCATGGCGCAGCTGATCCTCTAGGTCAGGCAGCGACTTTGGCATAAAACGTGGCTCCCTGACCACGTGTGCACTCTTAGCTTCCTTTTAAACAACTTCAGTGCCATCTTCCTGGCAGTAAATTCATGTATTCACAAAACTGAGCATGCGCAGCAGGAAGAATGCGCAGGGTGAGAGGGAAAAGGGAGCAGCACGGCTCTCCCCTCACACAGACTGTAAGGATTTTTCTCTCTGTCTGCCATGTGGAGAGGAGGGTCACAGTGACAGGGGAACACAGGAGGTCCATGCTCTGTCTTGGGTTTTTTTAAAAACATTTTTATTTATTTCTTTGAAAGACACAGAGAGAGAGAGAGATCTTTCATCTGTTGGTTCACTCCCCAAGTGAACAACAGCCAGAGCTGGGCCAGGCTAAAGCCAGGAATTTCTTCCAGGTCTCAAACGTGGGTGCAGGGACCAAGCACTTGGGCACATCTTCCACTGCTTTCCCAAGCGCATTAGCAGGAAGCTGGATTGGAAGTGGAGCAGCCAGGGCCCATATGGGGTGCCAGCACTGTGGAGGTTTAATCGGCTACCACAGCGCTAACCCCTGTTGTTATTTTCAGAGATAGAAGAAACTGTTTTCCTAAAGTGTTGAGTTCGTTTCAGCTGTCTGTCTCCTAATGTTCATTGGCAGGGAGAGGGGTGGAGAGTCAGAATGTATTCCGCCTGCAGCAGTGGCCGCCGGCCCCTCAAGCTTGATGCTGAATTAGGGGCCGCTCTGAGGGCTGCATGTGCCGCTGAGTTGTGTGATGGACTTGTCTCACAGAAGGCCACTTGGGTCCATGGAACCAGATCTGAAGCTGCTGAAGATCAAGTTCACGAACGTTCAGTTGAACTTGGGCTGAAATCCCAGCATTCACAAAATGGCCAGCATGAGGAGCCAGCTACAACCCCCGAGCAACCGCGTGTGGGCCTGCAGGCTGAGATGTTCAAGGAGGCTGTGGCCTGCAGGGTGTCCTGTGGGTGTTCCAGGCCAGTTCTCTCCCCTGGTCAAAGCAGGAGGGTAGAAGGTAGAAGGGGCAGCATTGCTAAGAAGGGAGGCTTTGAATGCCGTTGTGTGATGATGGCTCACGTGCATCTGTAATAGCTGCTGGAGTTAGGCCTGATCCCTGGCTACCTCCTGGCCAAGCCACAGCCACACTTAGTAGGTTGTGCCCTGCCGTGGTCTGGGAGGAGGTCTGTGGGAGACAGAAGATGTACTCAAGGTATTTATCTGTGCAGCACCCTGTGAAATTTACAAAGTGCTCTACAGATAGAGTGCAAAAGGCAATCCTGTGGTTGATGGAAAAAGTCTGGTGAATAAAATGAAATGCCCTCATCAGACATGGCTGGGCCTGTCAGCCAGAGTGCGTGGATATGTGTAGAAACGTGGACAGTGCGTGAGGATGGCTCTGTTACTCTCACAGTGCAGGACGCGGTGCCTGGCACACACAGTGGGCGCTTGGTGTTTGTCAAATGAATGAGAATCTGAACCTTCCTGAATAGTTTTGCTCCTGACTTTTAATGTTTGGAGTCTTACCTCCTTTACTGGGAGAAAAATGTAGCATACTGTTCCTAAGTCACATTTTGCAGGGGTAGAGAAATACCATGTTATAAACCCTCAGCAGGAGAGGAATTGATGAGTGTTGTGCTAAGTGATGTACAACTGCCAATTGTAATTAACTGCATCACCTTCAGCCTTGCTTTTTCTCCACCTCCAAGACACGTGACACAGATTTCTTCTGGTATCCATTCCCCAAACAGGCAATGTTTTAAAAAATAAACTTTATTACTTATTTGCAGGGGAGACCTCATTCTTCACTTCCTTTGCCATCCTTCCCCCTACACACCTCGAACCTGGTTCAACTGGGCCTTGCAGTAGCCATCCAAAGCAAACACTGGCCACGTTAGTGAAAATGCCCTGGTGTGGGGCACAAAGAAAAAGTATGTTTTCCAGCCTAATTAAATATGTGTATTAACCTCTAAACTGAAATCAGTTTTGAACTACAGTAGAACAAGAATTGACATATTCCTGCTTTGGGAACAATCTCCTGCATTATAACCAGTTTTTAAAGCAATTTAATCTGTCATCCAGATTAGTGTTTGACACTAACTCAACTGAGTCTACAAATCAGAAGGCTGGGATCACTGCATAATATTTCTGGTAGAGGAATAGAGAGAGGACACGGAGGTCACACAGGATAATAATAACAGAGAAATCAAGGTGTGGTGGAAGCATGAGGCTGTGCCATAAGGACCAAGAATCGCTACAGCAAATCTCCTGACATCGAGCCCCTCAAGTCTGCAGGTTAGAGTGTGGGCAGTTGTATGGGGCCATGGGGTGAGAGGAGAGAAGCTACAGGAGGATGAGATAGTCGGTCTCAGGGAAGATGATTCATGGAGCTCTGCGGACGTGTCCCTTAGCTGGGCCCAGGCTCCGTGTTTGGAGAGGAACCCAGACCAGGTGCGTTTTCTCACTTGGGCATGATTTGGACTTGACACTTTTTGCACTTCCAGATGATAGCAAGTTTTCCGAGGCTATCACTGTGCTGCTCTCTTGGATTGAACGAGGGGAAGTGAATCGGCGTTCTGCAAACCAGTTCTACTCCATGGTGCAGTCGGCCAACAGCCATGTCCGCCGGCTGATGAACGAGAAGGCCACCCATGAGCAAGAGATGGAGGAAGCCAAGGAGAACTTTAAAAATGCCTTAACCGGGATCCTCACTCAATGTAAGTAAAGTTTGGGGAGCCATGTCTTTTGTTGTGATTTTTGCCTTTTTGCTCGCTCTCTCTTTTTTTCTTTACTATTCATTTTACTTTTGGTTTTCATTTGGGGGTAAGTAGTTCAATAATCTCCCATTGTACTTCATATTGAATGGCAACCTCATAACCTATTTCATGTTCTGTGGCAACTTGGAGGAACACGGACCCCGCCCTGAGAGCTTACTTCTCAAGGTGAGCAAAGTTTCTGTAGCTTTTCCTTGGAGCTCCAGGCCCGGCCCTCCGGGCAGGGCAGCCAGCTGCACCTGTGCCTGCAGGCTGGGCACACACACACACACACACACACACCTGTGTGTCCTCCCAGTGCTGGCGGTACAAAGCAGGCTCTTGAACACGGTGTCCTGGGGTTCCGTTTAGGAAGAAGGGACCACCCAAAAAACTCTTCCCCAAGATCCTCTATTGCAGGTGAGCTTTGGCTTTCTGCTTGGGCAACCCAGGAGTTGAGAATGTCTTTCTTTTTTTTTTTTTTTTTTGTCCTTTCTTCATTGAGAAAGAAAATGGCCCTAAGTACTTAATGCCGGTGATTTTTCATGTCCAGATTCCAAATTGATGGAGGATGTAAAATGGGGCCTACTCCTAGAATAATAGGGTAATTATCCAGGGCTCTATTCCAAAAAAAAAAAAAAAAAAAAAGGAGGGCACCGGCGTCTGTGTTTTTTATGGGCACTCTGTGTCTGCAGTTAATGTCACAGCTGCCGATGTTGCCTTCATGGGGAAAGCCTTTGACTGATGCTGTAACAATGGCCATGCTCCATCACATGCCAGGTGCAGGGGCCCACATGCCATCGTGATGGGCGCAATTTACATATTCATTCTACAGATAAGTGTTATTTTCAGTGCTAACATGTGCCAAAATGCCTATCACCTCTTTCATTTGGGTAAACCTGAAGGATAATGGGTTTGTTAAGGATGGAACGAGAGAGGGGCGTGAAAAGCCAGGGCCTACGTGACTTTGTTGTCAAAAGCTCATTTTTAACCACAGCAAAGACCATGACATCAGAAAACTGACACTGGCAGAATTTTTTTAAAAAAAAATTGTTTTATTTATTTCAATGGCAGAGTTATAGAAAGAGAGAGAGAGAGAGAGAGAGAGAGAGAGAGAGAGAGATCTTCTATTTGCTGTTTCACTCCCCAAATGGCTGCAATGGCCAGGGCTGGGCCAGACCGAACTCGGGAGCCAGGAGGATGCAGAGACCCAAGCACTTGAGCCATCATTTGCTGCTTTCCCAGACACCTTAGCAGGAAGCTGAATTGGAAGTGGAGCAGCTAGGACACCAACAGGTGCCCACATGGGATGCCAGTGTCATGCGTGGTGGCTTTACCTGCTATGCCAGAACACTAGCCTCAACGTCAGCTTTTAAAGGAGGGAACCCAAGACTGGATTAGTGAGTAGGAAGAGGGAAGGGAAGGTTGAGTTGACAATAGAAAAGTGAGAGGTAGCGTAGGAAAACTTCAAATAATGCACTTCACACAAAGTTATAGCAGGAGGCCATATCCTTAGACAGCAGAATGATTACTGTAACTTCACCTTTTGCTCACTGGCACCAGTTTTAAATAAGTCCTCATTGCATGAGTTTGCAGTCCCCCCTGACAGAGAAGACTTAGCCCTTGACTGTAACGTTGGTGATAGGAGGGCAGTCATGGGTTAAAGAGGGGAGAGTTTCATTTTTCTTAGCAACAACTATTGAAAGAGGCACCTCTTAAAAGGAGGTCCCTGTGATGTGGTGGAAAAAAAGCAAAATGCCTTATGAAGACATGAATCAGCCCCTGTTTGAAACTACTGAAACCAGACTCCCTACCCCCCACAAAGTATAGTTTGTAGGGATCCAAATACCAGCTTTTTTTACTCATAAAAGTCATATTGGAAAATGCGGTAGAGACCTGTCTCAGGTCAAGATCATTTTTTTTTAAGATTTATTTATTTTATTCGGAAGGCAGAGCAACAAAGAGAGGACAAGAAATAGAGATAGGGAGAGATCATCTATTTTCTGGTCCTCTCCACAAATGGCACATAACAGTCAGGACTGGGCCAGACTGAAGGCAGCAGCCAGAAACTCCATCCCTGTCTCCTACATGGAGTAGCAGGGGTCCACGAACTTGGGCCATCTTCCAGTGACTTCCCAGGTGCACTGGCAGGGAGCTGAACAAGAAGCAGAACAGCTGGGACTCGAACTGGCACTCTGGTATGGGATGCTGATGTCATCAGCCATGGCTTAACCTGCTGTGCTACAGTGTCTTCCCCTCCAGCCAAAATCTTAGGAGCATTAGTTACACCCAACAGCTCATCCCCAGCAACCTCTATATCTGGAGCATTAGGAAATCCCGTATTTCTACCTTCAAAAACTCACTCCTGTTTCGCCTGCTTATCTTTTTTTTTTTTTTTTTTTTTTTTTTTTTTTTTTTTGACAGGCAGAGTGGACAGTGAGAGAGAGAGACAGAGAGAAAGGTCTTCCTTTGCCGTTGGTTCACCCTCCAGTGGCCGCCGCGGCTGGCGTGCTGCGGCCGGCGCACCGCGCTGATCCCATGGCAGGAGCCAGGAGCCAGGTGCCTTTCCTGGTCTCCCATGGGGTGCAGGGCCCAAGCACTTGGGCCATCCTCCACTGCACTCCCTGGCCACAGCAGAGAGCTGGCCTGGAAGAGGTTGGGCAACCGGGACAGAATCCGGCGCCCCGACCGGGACTAGAACCCGGTGTGCCGGCGCCGCAAGGCGGAGGATTAGCCTAGTGAGCCGCGGCGCCGGCCCTCGCCTGCTTATCTTAGTTTTGCCGGCTACCACTCAAGTCCAGGCTGTCTGAACCACTGTCATGGTGTGGTGTGTCAGAGCAGTGCCTAGCTGTGAGTAACAGGAGACTCTACCAAACCGTATCTTAAACAAGTAGAATTCCTTTTCTGTTCGCACACAGCAAAATCCAGACATGGGCTCAGGAGTTGAGAGTTGTGAGGACTGAGGCTTCTGGGACACTGTCAGGTTTTCCTAGATGCCTGCCTTACAGTGACTGCTGCTGCTCCTGCTGTCACATCTTCCTTTTTCCAGACTAAAATTCCTTAAAAAGGAGGGGAAGGAAGGAAGAGAAGGGAGTTGCATTATTACAGCAAGAAAGCAAAACCTGCCGAAACACCCCCAACAGACTACTTCATATGTCTCCTTTAGGCAGAATTATCACCCATGGCCCTACCTATGAGGGAAGTGAGAAATGTAACTTTTGACTGGGCCCCTTTCCCTCCAGAATAAAATGGAGCTCTCATGTAATGAGGGGAGAACGGCCACTGGGAAGCCTTTGGCGGTGTCCACCTCACATAGTCCCTGTCATTCTGCTTTGACTTTGACTCCCTCTGTTTCTCACTCATCATCTGATAGAAGTCAGATTGTGTCTTCTCCACCTAAGTCCCTCCAACAGGTTCGCATTGCACTTAAAGCAGTGTTCACTCTCCCTTGCCTGCAAGGCTCTCCCTGCCTGCCTGTTTAGCATCAGTTTTCCCTTGAGCCTCCTTGGTCCCCCGCCTTGGCTTCCTTCCTCCTGGTCCCAGCCTTCACACATTCTGTTCCCTCTTCTTGGTGTGCTCTTCCAGTTACCTTTGTATGGTTGAATCCTTTGTGTCCTTTAGGTCTTGGCTATGAGATCACCCCTTCAGACAGTCATTCTGGTTCATTCTTTGAGTAGATTCACCGGCACTCTACCTTATGAAGTAGCACTTTGTGGCACATATCCAAATGTGCAATGGCTTGGTGATTTGCCTGCTCTTAATCATCGTGTCTTTTCTCATCATCCGTGTGTACCAAGTCCCTGGAACACAGAACTACGCCACAGATGTTCGGTGGATGAGTGGGTGAGTGAATGAGTAAATTAGAAGGCAGGGAGGAAAAACACCTGAAACGGTGCATCCAGAAATTTCCAGTGACACCATAGCGTAGTTTGGCACTGGCGCTGCCACCACCCACAGGTCCCAGTGTGTAATGAAGCAAACCCCTGACAGAGCTCAGTAGCTGTGCTTTTGCGAGGGAGACGGTGACACTGTAGCAGAGCCTTCCTAGCAGGCCAGGGCACGTTAGCAGGGTTGGAGGGACAGAGTCCATAGAAGCATCTGCCTCGGAGCATCCTCACTTGTAAATGCCCAGCAGCCTTCATGTTTTTTTAATTAATGTATTTATTTATATCTATTTATTTATAAAGGTTTATTTATTTACTTGAAAGTCAGAGTTACACAGAGAGAGAAAGAGAGGCAGAGAGAGAGAAAAGTCTTCTATCTGTTGGTTCACTCTCTAATTGGCCACAATGGCCGGAGCTGCGCTGATCCAAAGCCAGGAGCTTCTTCTGGGTCTTCCATGTGAGTGCAGAGTCCCAAGGACTTGGGCCATCTTCTACTGCTTTCCCAGGCCATAGCAGAGAGCTGGATCAGAAGTGGCACAGACAGGACTAGAACCGGTGCCCATATGGGATGCCGGCACTATAGATGGTGGCTTTACCCGCTACACCACAGCACCGGCCCCAGCCTTCATGTTTACCTCCTACCTCTTCTTGCTTGGGAGTTGTCCCTCAGCCCTATAATTTGATACAGTGAAGAAGTATTTCCACAGTGGGCAGGTATCATTGGAGAGTGTGAAAATCCCACAGCAATAGCTGAGGGGTGCCCGTCACAGCCCTGGAGTGTTGGAGGGGTCTTCACCTGTGTCTTTGATAGTCAAGACCTTTCACGGTGACTCGAAGATGGGAGGAGATACCTGCAATGGGGCGAGCCTGGGTTGGAGTTAAGCCGGTGAAGCACAACAGAAATAGCGCTTATCTCCCGGAGCAGTCTCGAAATTTTCCACTCTCTCCCGTGTGCTTTGACAAACCCTGGCATCCGTTGTGAAAATCCAAGCCTACCGCAAAAAGCTCATGGAAAGAATCAAATCAGAAATAAATTTGTGTTGTTGCAAGACAGTCGCGAAACACACACATAGTCTTTCT